AGTTCTGTTCTAGTTCTGTTTTGTTTGTTCTGTTCTAGTCTGTTCTAGTTTGTAGTTCTGTTCTAGTTCTGTTCTAGTTCTGTTCTAGTTCTGTTCTAGTTCTGTTCTAGTTTGTTCTAGTTCTGTTCTAGTTCTGTTCTAGTTCTGTTCTAGTTCTGTTCTAGTTCTGTTCTAGTTCTATTCTAGTTCTATTCTAGTTCTGTTCTAGTTCTGTTCTAGTTCTGTTCTAGTTCTGTTCTAGTTCTGTTCTAGTTCTGTTCTAGTTCTGTTCTAGTTCTGTTCTAGTTCTAGTTCTGTTCTAGTTCTGTTCTAGTTTGTTCTAGTTCTGTTCTAGTTCTGTTCTAGTTCTGTTCTAGTTCTGTTCTAGTTCTGTTCTAGTTCTGTTCTAGTTCTGTTCTAGTTCTCTTCTAGTTCTGTTCTAGTTCTGTTCTAGTTCTGTTCTAGTTCAGTTCTAGTTCTAGTTCTGTTCTAGTTCTGTTCTAGTTCGTTCTAATTCTGTTCTTTCTGTTCTAGTTCTGTTCTAGTTCTGTTCTAGTTCTGTTCTAGTTCTGTTCTAGTTCTTATGAAATTAAATTAGGTTAATAACATATTTCTTATTTTACTTAAAGCTAATGAACAACGTACATTAGAAAGATTTTATAGATATGTACTTAACAAAATTTAACAGTCTGTTAAATATTCTGATAAACTTAGAACTAGTAGTTACTAAAAAATAAAACGATTAGAATAAAGTATACCATTAGACAGACAGATTATAAAGCAGAATTAATTGGTTATAAGTAAAGATGTAAAAAATCAACTTTAAACTAATTGAATAAAGTGTAGAAAGCTAAATAAATACTCGTAAGAGGGAGGAAGAAAACAAAAATTTAAATTTTACAAAATGATAGCTTAAAAAAAAAACTCACTATAATTATTATTTTTACAGCAAATAAAAAGTTACAACTTTTACGCAATCAGCAGCATTGAACCGTGAAACTATAGCAGCATCACAATTAGCAACATCAACCTCAACAGGAAGTATAACACAAGCACAAGCTTCTGCATCCTCTTCGTCCTCATCGTCATCATCTTTATCTGGTTCCAACCTCTGCAGGAACTTCACAACATAGTATAACAACATAACCCAGTCTAGCATGGAGCAAAGAACGGTATCAGCCACACATATGAATGTGCAAACAGCAGCAACATCTATTTCTTCAACAGCCACCATAACATCATCGTCCCCCTCCTCTTCAGCCACTTTATTGTCTGCTGCCAAAGGAAACCAACATCAGCAGCAACAACAAACTTTGTTAAATACTGCCACTAATAGAGGTGGTATTGTAGCTGTTGATAGTTCCTCTCTGCTTTTCATCTAGTGGCATGACAGCTAATGATGGTGGCCATAGTGTTTTTAACCGTAGACGAAGATTCATTGTCCTTGGATCGTCTTTAATTCATTGCGCATCTATATGACGTCCATAAAAACTTTACCCTTCAATTTACGCAATCTACGGGTAAAGTAACAACAACTTTTTTTTTGTTCGTTTTTATATGTTCTCCTGTTTTATTTTTGTGAAAAACTACTTTTCATTAAATATAAAGAAAACAAAAAAGTTTTGCAAAAATGTGCAAAAATTTTGTTCTTATTTTGAGAACAGATTTTTAATGTCTTCATCTTTTTGGTGGAATATTTTATTAATGAAAAATAAACTTTTTGTTATGAAAATTTTTAATTACCTGAGTTTAACACTTTTTTTCGGGGGTGTGTAAATGATATACAACAAAAAAAGTTACAACAACGTAAATGTTAAGAAAAATTTTTGTCCACAAATATATGATTACTTTTCTATAAAAACTTTATATTTTTTATGATTTTTTAAAATTAAATCTAAAATAATTTTAAATGTTTTTATTATTAAATACGTCTAGTTTTCCAAAACTTTATTAACTTTTTCAAATCTCTCGAACTTCTTCAAACAAAATTTTTTAAAAATATACATAAGACCAGAATTAAATATTACTCATACGCCAGCGTTAAAGAATTTTTTATTTTGAAATAATTCACTTTTTCAGTTCCAGTTGTAGTTCTAGTTCAGTTCCAGTTGTAGTTCTAGTTCAGTTCTAGTTCAGTTTAGTTCAGTTCTAGTTTCAGTTCTAGTTCAGTTTCTAGATCAGTTCTAGTTCAGTTCTTAGTTCAGTTCTAGTTCAATTCTAGTTCAGTTCTAGTTCAGTTCTAGTTCAGTTCTAGTTCAGTTCTAGTTCAGTTCTAGTTCAGTTCTAGTTCAGTTCTAGTTCAGTTCTAGTTCAGTTCTAGTTCAGTTCTAGTTCTAGTTCAGTTCTAGTTCAGTTCTAGTTCAGTTCTAGTTCAGTTCTAGTTCAGTTCTAGTTCAGTTCTAGTTCAGTTCTAGTTCAGTTCTAGTTCAGTTCTAGTTCAGTTCTAGTTCAGTTCTAGTTCAGTTCTAGTTCAGTTCTAGTTCAGTTCTAGTTCAGTTCTAGTTCAGTTCTAGTTCAGTTCTAGTTCAGTTCTAGTTCAGTTCTAGTTCAGTTCTAGTTCAGTTCTAGTTCAGTTCTAGTTCAGTTCTAGTTCAGTTCTAGTTCAGTTCTAGTTCAGTTCTAGTTCAGTTCTAGTTCAGTTCTAGTTCAGTTCTAGTTCAGTTCTAGTTCAGTTCTAGTTCAGTTCTAGTTCAGTTCTAGTTCAGTTCTAGTTCAGTTCTAGTTCAGTTCTAGTTCAGTTCTAGTTCAGTTCTAGTTCAGTTCTAGTTCAGTTCTAGTTCAGTTCTAGTTCAGTTCTAGTTCAGTTCTAGTTCAGTTCTAGTTCAGTTCTAGTTCAGTTCTAGTTCAGTTCTAGTTCAGTTCTAGTTCAGTTCTAGTTCAGTTCTAGTTCAGTTCTAGTTCAGTTCTAGTTCAGTTCTAGTTCAGTTCTAGTTCAGTTCTAGTTCAGTTCTAGTTCAGTTCTAGTTCAGTTCTAGTTCAGTTCTAGTTCAGTTCTAGTTCAGTTCTAGTCATTCTAGTTCAGTTTCTAGTTCAGTTCTAGTTCAGTTCTAGTTCAGTTCTGTTCAGTTCTAGTTCAGTTCTAGTTCAGTTTCTAGTTCAGTTCTAGTTCAGTTCTAGTTCAGTTCTAGTTCAGTTCTAGTTCAGTTCTAGTTCAGTTTCAGTTAGTTCAGTTCTAGTTCAGTTCTAGTTCAGTTCTAGTTCAGTTCTAGTTCAGTTCTAGTTCAGTTCTAGTTCAGTTCTAGTTCAGTTCTAGTTCAGTTCTAGTTCAGTTCTAGTTCAGTTCTAGTTCAGTTCTAGTTCAGTCTAGTTCAGTTCTAGTTCAGTTCTAGTTCAGTTCTAGTTCAGTTCTAGTTCAGTTCTAGTTCAAGTTCAGTTCTAGTTCAGTTCTAGTTCAGTTCTAGTTCAGTTCTAGTTCAGTTCTAGTTCAGTTCTAGTTCAGTTCTAGTTCAGTTCTAGTTCAGTTCTAGTTCAGTTCTAGTTCAGTTCTAGTCAGTTCTAGTTCAGTTCTAGTTCAGTTCTAGTTCAGTTCTAGTTCAGTTCTAGTTCAGTTCTAGTTCAGTTCTAGTTCAAGTTCAGTCTAGTTCAGTTCTAGTTCAGTTCTAGTTCAGTTCTAGTTCAGTTCTAGTTCAGTTCTAGTTCAGTTCTAGTCAGTTCTAGTTCAGTTCTAGTTCAGTTCTAGTTCAGTTTCTAGTTCAGTTCTAGTTCAGTTCTAGTTCAGTTCTAGTTCAGTTCTAGTTCAGTTCTAGTTCAGTTCTAGTTCAGTTCTAGTTCAGTTCTAGTTCAGTTCTAGTTCAGTTCTAGTTCAGTTCTAGTTCAGTTCTAGTTCAGTTCTAGTTCAGTTCTAGTTCAGTTCTAGTTCAGTTTAGTTCAGTTCTAGTTCAGTTCTAGTTCAGTTCTAGTTCAGTTCTAGTTCAGTTCTAGTTCAGTTCTAGTTCAGTTCTAGTTCAGTTCTAGTTCAGTTCTAGTTCAGTTCTAGTTCAGTTCTAGTTCAGTTCTAGTTCAGTTCTAGTTCAGTTCTAGTTCAGTTCTAGTTCAGTTCTAGTTCAGTTCTAGTTTCAGTTCTAGTTCAGTTCTAGTTCAGTTCTAGTTCAGTTCTAGTTCAGTTCTAGTTCAGTTCTAGTTCAGTTCTAGTTCAGTTCTAGTCAGTTCTAGTTCGAGTTCTAGTTCAATTCTGGTTCAGTTTTAGCTTTAGTTCATAATTTGTTTAAGTTTATAAATTTCTTTATTTAACATTTTGTAGCAATTAAGTTTTACAAATTATCATAAAATCCAATAATAAAAAAAGTATATTTTCTTAACAAAAAACAGGAAACAAAAAACGAATACTAAGATAAAAACGTAGCCCAGCTACTCACAAGAAAACTTCTTTATATACTACATTTTTTAATCCAGCTAAAATGTATATCGATGGTCATCAGGGATGAAGGAGAATTCGGGAAAAAAACATGTTTTAAAACAATAAAGTAAACTGCGGAAAAAACTATAGCAACGCTAAAAAAAGTAAAAAATTCCAAACAGAATATTGCGGAAAAACTGCTTTTTAAACATAATTTAGTTTAGTTTTTTGTGCAAAAAGTTTTTTTTATTAATAAAACTTAAAATTGTTTACCTGATGCAGCAGTTCAAAGTAAAAAAAGAAAATGGAGTTAAAAAAACAAATTCAAAAGAAAAGATGGCCAATAAAAAGATATAGTTTTCTTAAGAAAAAATTGAAAAAAAAATCATACACATTTTATAAAATAAAAAGTATAGATATCACAGTCAAAGAGAAAACATTGAATATAGTAATAAGAAACCAAAACTGATAAAAAACACTTTGGGTAATTGAAACACATGGAAAAAGTAGATAATGTAATGCAATAGTTTAAATAGAGAATAGCTAAGAAGTTTCATATTTACCTTAAGAAGTTTCAGCATTTAGTAATTCAGAAAACTTTAATACTTCATTCAAGTATTTTGAAAATTTCAAAAATAAATGATTTTAACTTTTCATTCTATTTACTCCTCTTTACAGTGATGACCTTTTTCTGACCAGCTGTATATGGACATTGGGCTATCGAATCGTTTGCTGAATATAATGACTAACAAAAACCATATTTGCCTCTGTGATCTCGTACAAAAATTTAAAGAGTTTTTACCTAAAACCTACTATACAAGAGGAAGGTAAGTTTCTTTAAAAAATAATTCCAAAAAAAGTTTTGACAGAACTAAAGAACAGAACTAGAACAGAACTAGAACAGAACTAGAACAGAACTAGAACAGAACTAGAACAGAACTAGAACAGAACTAGAACAGAACTAGAACAGAACTAGAACAGAACTAGAACAGAACTAGAACAGAACTAGAACAGAACTAGAACAGAACTAGACAGAACTAGAACAGAACTAGAACAGAACTAGAACAGAACTAGAACAGAACTAGAACAGAACTAGAACAGAACTAGAACAGAACTAGAACAGAACTAGAACAGAAACTAGAACAGAACTAGAACAGAACTAGAACAGAAAGAGAACGAACTAGAACAGAACTAGAACAGAACTAGAACAGAACTAGAACAGAACTAGAACAGAACTAGAACAGAACTAGAACAGAACTAGAACAGAACTAGAACAGAACTAGAACAGAACTAGAACAGAACTAGAACAGAACTAGAACAGAACTAGAACAGAACTAGAACAGAACTAGAACAGAGAACAGAACTAGAACAGAACTAGAACAGAACTAGAACAGAACTAGAACAGAACTGGAACAGAACTAGAACAGAACTAGAACAGAACTAGAGCAGAACTAGAACAGAACTAGAACAGAACTAGAACAGAACTAGAACAGAACTAGAACAGAACTAGAACAGAACTAGAACAGAACTGGAACAGAACTAGAACAGAACTAGAACAGAACTAGAACTGAACTAGAACTGAACTAGAACAGAACTAGAACAGAACTAGAACAGAACAGAACTAGAACAGAACTAGAACAGAACTAGAACAGAACTAGAACAGAACTAGAACAGAACTAGAACAGAACAGAACTAGATCAGAACTAGAACAGAACTAGAAAGAACAGAACTAGAACAGAACTAGAACAGAACTAGAACAGAACTAGAACAGAACTAGAACAGAACTAGAACAGAACTAGAACAGAACTAGATAGAACTAGAACAGAACTAGAACAGAACTAGAACAGAACTAGAACAGAACTAGAACAGAACTAGAACAGAACTAGAACAGAACTAGAACAGAACTAGAACAGAACTAGAACGAACTAGAACAGAACTAGAACAGAACTAGAACAGAACTAGAACAGAACTAGAACAGAACTAGAACAGAACTAGAACAGAACTAGAACAGAACTAGAACAGAACTAGAACAGAACTAGAACAGAACTAGAACAGAACTAGAACAGAACTAGAACAGAACTAGAACAGAACTAGAACAGAACTAGAACAGAACTAGAACAGAACTAGAACAGAACTAGAACAGAACTAGAACGAACTAGAACAGAACTAGAACAGAACTAGAACAGAACTAGAACAGAACTAGAACAGAACTGAACAGAAACTAGAACAGAACTAGAACAGAACTAGAACAAACTAGAACAGAACTAGAACAGAACTAGAACAGAACAGAACTAGAACAGAACTAGAACAGAACTAGAACAGAACTAGACAGAACAGAACTAGAACAGAACTAGAACAGAACTAGAACAGAAACTAGAAACAGAACTAGAACAGAACTAGAACAGAACTAGAACAGAACTAGAACAGAACTAGAACAGAACTAGAACAGAACTAGAACAGAACTAGAACAGAACAGAACAGAACTAGAACAGAAAAACTAGAACAGAACTAGAACAGAACTAGAACAGAACTCGAACAGAACTAGAACAGAACTATTACAAATCTAGAACAGAACTTTAAATTTAATACAAATTTCTGCCAAAAGTTTTTATCTGAAAATTCCGCAATCAAATTTCACTTTAAATTTTGTAACTTTTCAATAAATTTGTTTGTCATAATCATTGTTTACACAACCATTCATTATTTTTGAAAACAAACTCACATTCTGCATTTTATGCTATTTTCCCGCAACATAACCAAAAGTCGCTTTATTAACGTATATTTTCATGCTGTTTCTATATTTTTTTTTTTAATGCAAATGCAGTGATCCCAAAGAGTCTGATTACATTTTGGCATCACGCATTATACAAACGTGGCTGTTTCAATCAAATCGCTCTAATGATAATATGCGAGAACCATTGGATTTACCTTTTGAACATGGTCATGTAGAGATTATTTTTCAACATGAAAAAGCACCCAAGGATAGTGATTGGATAGCGGTGTGTGGGTGAGTAGAGAAAAAAGAAAATTAAAAAGTGGGAAAAATATGTAAATTTAAAAATTTAATATATTTTTTTCTTTTTTATAAATAAAAATTTGATTACAGTCATGACTATAGGCATCCTTTGAATCTAGTTGGCGTTCTGATTTGTGTATAACCAAAAATTTAATGGAAAACATAACACGTTGTATTTGTCCAGTATCTGGTACTTATGTGGTCATGTTAACCAAACGTAATAATCATGTAAGTATACGAAATTTTTAAGCAAATAATACTAATATTAAATAAATCTAACACTAACGTGCAACACTTCCTGGACTTGTTGTTGTTGTGTAAAACTATATATTTGCTTTAGTGCTCAAGTGTTAGTATATATTGGGTCTTTATCATGTTGTGTGAAATCACCTTTGTGTTCCCTTTACAAATTCTGGTTTTCTGGTTCTTGCTTTCTTGAATACTCGAGTCACAAATGGTCGATTTGTGTGCATTTTAAGTTTTGTATATAATGTTGGGAGTTATTTTTCTTTTTCCTGTGGTTTTGTTTTATTTTATTATTATGATAAGTATCATTACAAAACCATGGCAAGTTGTATAAACATTTGTTAAGATTTAAACGTAAATAGGGAATTATTGTACTTTCCATTTTTTTTTTTAAACTAGTGAAATATTTAGTTAAACAAATGTTTTGTATAGGTGTAAATATAGGGTAAAATAATACACAGAAATAAAGTTGTTAAGTAAATAAAGTTATACATAAAGAAACTATCTTATTACACGTACTTAAAGAGATACTTAATTCTTTTATATGAAATAAAAATGGTTTATTTAAAAAAACAAGGATTAAACTTTCAGTTTTTAAACAATGTATATAATAAAACCTTTACATATACATATTTATTAGGTGTAACGGACAGCTTTTCAAAACTGTTAAAATTTTCAATCTAAATCTAATCGTAATTGTAGTTATAGCTATTTTAGTATAAATACTACTTCAGTAATATAAATCATACGTACCCGTTGCCATCAGCAAAGCAAGTGGCCAAATACTCTCTAACTTTTAAAATAATTAAACAATCCTTAGAAAATTTGGCACACACATAGAAAAGAAATTAAGCATATTAGCAGCTAGGAAGGCGAAAAAATCTGAAGTGAAAACTAGAACAGAACTAGAACAGTATTAGAACAGAACTAGAACAGAACTACAACAGAACTAGAACAGAACTAGAACAGAACTAGAACAGAACTAGAACAGAACTAGAACAGAACTAGAACAGAACTAGAACAGAACTAGAACAGAACTAGAACAGAACTAGAACAGAACTAGAACAGAACTAGAACAGAACTAGAACAGAACTAGAACAGAACTAGAACAGAACTAGAACAGAACTAGAACAGAACTAGAACAGAACTAGAACAGAACTAGAACAGAACTAGAACAGAACTAGAACAGAACTAGAACAGAACTAGAACAGAACTAGAACAGAACTAGAACTAGAACAGAACAGAACAGAACAGAACAGAACAGAACTAGAACAGAACTTGAACAGAACTAGAACAGAACTAGAACAGAACTAGAATAGAACTAGATAGAACTAGAACTAGAAACTAGAACAGAACTAGAACAGAACTAGAACAGAACTAGAACAGAACTAGAACAGAACTAGAACAGAACTAGAACAGAACTAGACCGAACTAGAACAGAACTAGAACAGAACTAGCACAGAACCATAACAGAACTAGAACGAACCAGAACAGAACTAGAACAGAAACTAGAACAGAACTAGAACAGAACTAGAACAGAATAGAACAGAACTAGAACCAGAACTAGAACAGAACTAGAACAGAACTAGAAACAGAACTAGAACAGAAACTAGAACAGAACTAGAACAGAACTAGATCAGAACTAGAACAGAACTAGAACAGAACTAGAACAGAACTAGAAACAGAACTAGAAACAGAACTAGAACAGAACTAGAACAGAACTAGAACAGAACTAGAACAGAACTAGAACAGAACTAGAACAGAACTAGAACAGAAACTAGAACAGAACTAGACAGAACTAGAACAGAACTAGAACAGAACTAGAACAGAACTAGAACAGAACTAGAACAGAACTAGAACAGAACTAGAACAGAACTAGAACAGAAACTAGAACAGAAACTAGAACAGAACTAGAACAGAACTAGAACAGAACTAGAACAGAACTAGAACAGAACTAGAACAGAACTAGAACAGAACTAGAACTGAACTAGAACTGAACTAGAACTGAACTAGAACTGAACTAGAACTGAACTAGAACTGAACTAGAACTAGAACTAGAACTGAACTAGAAAACTGACTAGAACTGAACTAGAACTGAACTAGAACAAACTAGCACAGAACTAGAACAGAACTAGAACAGAACTAGAACAGAACTAGAAACAGAACTAGAACAGAACTAGAACAGAACTAGAACAGAAACAGAACTAGAACAGAACTAGAACAGAACTAGAACAGAACTAGAACAAGAGAACTAGAACAGAACTAGACAGACTAGAACAGAACTAGAACAGAACTAGAACAGAACTAGAACAGAACTAGAACAGAACTAGAACAGAACTAGAACAGAACTAGAACAGAACTAAACAGAACTAGAACAGAACATAGAACAGAACCTAGACAGAACATAGAACAGAACTAGAACAGAACTAGAACAGAACTAGAAACAGAACTGAACAGAACTAGAACAGACTAGAAACAGAACTAGAACAGAACTAGAACAGGTTGAACAGAACTAGAACAGAACTAGAACAGAACTAGAACTGAACTAGAACCTGAACTAGAACTGAACTAGAACTGAACTAGAACGAACTAGAACAGAACTAGAACAGAACTAGAACAGAACTAGAACAGAACTAGAAACAGAACTAGCACAGAACTAGAACAGACTAGAACAGAACTAGAACAGAACTAGAACAGAACTTAGAACAGAACTAGAACAGAACTAGAACAAACTAGAACAGACCTAGAACAGAACTAGAACCAGAAACTAGAACAGAACTAGAACAGAAACTAGAACAGAACTAGAACAGAACTAGAACGAACTAAAACAGAACTCGAACAGGAACTAGAACGAACTAGAACCGAACTAGATCAGAACTAGAACAGAACTAGAACAGAACTAGAACAGAACTAGAACAGAACTAGAACAGAACTAGAACAGAACTAGAACAGAACTAGAACAGAACTAGAACAGAACTAGAACAGAACTAGAACAGAACTAGAACAGAACTAGAACAGAACTAGAACAGAACTAGAACAGAACTAGAACAGAACTAGAACAGAACTAGAACAGAACTAGAACAGAACTAGAACAGAACTAGAAACAGAACTAGAACAGAACTAGAACAGAACTAGAACAGAACTAGAACAGAACTAGAACAGAACTAGAACAGAACTAGAACAGAACTAGAACAGAACTAGAACAGAACTAGAACAGAACTAGAACAGAACTAGAACAGAACTAGAACAGAACTAGAACAGAACTAGAACAGAACTAGAACAGAACTAGAACAGAACTAGAACAGAACAAGACACAGAACTAGAACAGAACTAGAACAGAACTTAAACAGAACTAGAACAGAACTAGAACAGAACTAGAACAGAACTAGAACAGAACTAGAACAGAGCTAGAACAGAACTAGAACAGAACTAGAACAGAACTAGAACAGAACTAGAACAGAACTAGAACAGAACTAGAACAGAACTAGAACAGAACTAGAACAGAACTAGAACAGAACTAGAACAGAACTAGAACAGAACTAGAACAGAACTAGAACAGAACTAGAACAGAACTAGAACAGAACTAGAACAGAACTAGAACAGAACTAGAACAGAACTAGAACAGAACTAGAACAGAACTAGAACAGAACTAGAACAGAACTAGAACAGAACTAGAACAGAACTAGAACAGAACTAGAACAGAACTAGAACAGAACTAGAACAGAACTAGAACAGAACTAGAACAGAACTAGAACAGAACTAGAACAGAACAGAACTAGAACAGAACTAGAACAGAACTGGAACAGAACTAGAACAGAGCTAGAATAGAACTAGAACAGAACTAAGAACTAGAACAGAACTAGAACAGAACTAGAACAGAACTAGAACTGAACTAGAACTGAACTAGAACTGAACTAGAACTGAACTAGAACTGAACTAGAACTGAACTAGAACTGAACTAGAACTGAACTAGAACTGAACTAGAACTGAACTAGAACTGAACTAGAACTGAACTAGAACTGAACTAGAACTGAACTAGAACTGAACTAGAACTGAACTAGAACTGAACTAGAACTGAACTAGAACTGAACTAGAACTGAACTAGAACTGAACTAGAATTGTACTAGAACTGAACTAGAATTGTACTAGAACAGAACTACAACAGAACTACAACAGAACTAGAACAGAACTAGAACAGAACTAGAACAGAACTAGAACAGAACTACAACAGAACTAGAACAGAACTAGAACAGAACTAGAACTAGAACAGAACAGAACAGAACAGAACTAGAACAGAACAGAACTAGAACAGAACTAGAACAGAACTTAGAACAGAACTAGAACAGAACTAGAACTGAAACTGAACTAGAACTGAACTAGAACTGAACTAGAACTGAACTAGAACTGAACTAGAACTGAACTAGAACTGAACTAGAACTGAACTAGAACTGAACTAGAACTGAACTAGAACTGAACTAGAACTGAACTAGAACTGAACTAGAACTGAACTAGAACTGAACTAGAACAGAACTAGAACAGAACTAGAACTGAACTAGACTGAACTAGAACTGAACTAGAACTGAACTAGAACTGATCTAGAACTGAACTAGAACAGAACTAGAACAGAACTAGAACAGAACTAGAACAGAACTAGAACAGAACTAGAACAGAACTAGAACAGAACTAGAACAGAACTAGAACAGAACTAGAACAGAACTAGAACTGAAACTAGAACAGAACTAGAACAGAACTAGAACAGAACTAGAACAGAACTAGAACAGAACTAGAACAGAACTAGAACAGAACTAGAACAGAACTAGAACAGAACTAGAACAGAACTAGAACAGAACTAGAACAGAACTAGAACAGAACTAGAACAGAACTAGAACAGAACTAGAACAGAACTAGAAACTAGAACAACTAGAACAGGAACAGAACTAGAACAGAACTAGAACAGAACTAGAACAGAACTAGAACAGAAC